TGCGCGCGCATGCAGGGCAACAACACGCACGGGCAGCACGCGCGGGCGGGCAGCAGGCCAGCTAGGGGCAGCACGCGCGGGTGACTTGGGCAGCAAGAAAAGGAGTCTTCTAGGAGTCTTTTTGAGCTGAATTTCACTAGATACATGGAGTGCAAGTCAAGGCATAAGATCTCCCAGATATTTAATTTCCTTATTGCTTTAGAAGATCTAGATTGTTTAGGATATTTAATATTTTATTGCTTTCTAGCATTAGGATTTATTTTATTGCATTAATTAGGAGATCTAGTTAGATTAGAATTAGATTTAGTTTGCACCTATAAATACCCCATGTATCTCATCATTATTAGACAAGTCGAGAATTGAGTATTGAATTGGTGAGCCAATTGTGAGGGGGAACTGTTGTTCTTACGTGTGTTTAAACAAGGCCGTTAGTGCGTGTTTACATACAGTGTCGGAGAGAAGGCCATTAGAGCGTCTTGAAGTCACGATATCTAGGAGAAGGCCGTAGTGCGTCTGTTAGATACATCTATCGTGGATAAACGAAGGCCCGAGTGCATGTTTATTCACAACCCGAAAATAAAGTAATAACACGGTCATTCATCACAGCACGCGGGGCATGACTTGCCAAGCAAGAAACCGAGTTTGGGAGACCTTTTTGAGCTGAATCTTCTCTAGATTATTCTTGCCTACTTGGAGTACAAGTCAAGGCACAAGATCCCCTAGATATTTAGTTTCCTTAATGCTTTATGATATCTAGATTATTTAGGTTATTTAATATTTAATTGCTTTAATTAGTTTCCTAGGTAGATTAGAATTAGTCATAGTTAGGATCTATAAATAGGGATGATCCCTCATTATTTTTCACGTCTTGGAATTGATGAAATAGAAAAGAATGTTTGTTCGAAACCGTGTGTTAGGATTCGTGAGAGTTCGATCATTCAACCGAATTGGTGAGGCTAAGACCCAAGCCAGTTCAACCGAGTTAGTGAGGCTAAGAGCCGAGCTAATTCAAAAGAGGGAGCGAGGCTTATACCCGAGTGAACTCAAGTATCGTGAGAGAG